GATTTTTAAACAGGAAACTACAGACTGAATATACTCATTATGGCAGGGCAGCATTTCTTTTCAATTTTCACCTCCACATAACGATGGTCCCAAGACATCCAGCACCCACTCTCCACTCCCAGAAATGCAAATCCTGCTCTTTACCTCTTCCCTTTCCATATCCAGGAATCCAAACACATCTTGGAGGTGAAATGATGCTTCATGTGGAGCTCTTTCAACTTAGTGTACTGTATTTGCTTCTGTTATGGTCTCCTTTACACTGGGATCAGCAGACCCAGATTGAGTGATTGCTTTGGTGAAATCTTCTGTTCAGTCTGCAAGTGTGACCTCAAGCTATTAATCTCTGTCATTTTAATTCTCCATCCCACTCACATGCTGACCTCTCTACCCTCTGTCTCCTGCATGTTTAAGTAAAGCTCAACGGAAACTCGAAACACAGCGTCACATCTTTTGAGCAGGGACCATGCAATCTTCAAGACTCAATACTGTGTTCTACAATTCTCCTTGCTTTGCACATCAAAATCAGGCAATAAGTCTGCTGTTCCAACTTACACTTTTGGACTCACCTATTGGTTTTTCACCTGTTCAGTTACCAGCCCTTCTTCGAACCACCATTCCCTTTGACATTTAATTTCTACTTTCTTTCCCCATATCACAGACATTCCTTAGTGTCCTTTCTAGCTGCCTCTTCTGCCTTTATAAAATCTTCCACTTTTGACAAAAGGTCACCGACTCAAAACGTAAACTCGGATCTTCTCTCTCTTTCTCTCCACAGATGCTGCCAAACCTGCAGTATATCTCCAGCATTTTTCTCAGCAGGATCAGGACATGACTCCTGACATGTGGAATACACTTCTCCCTGCCTCTGTGCCACTCTCATTGTCCCAAAGTTTCCCTCTTCCCCTCCAACTTCCACACTTGTTTAAGCACCCAAGATCCCACCCACAATCCTGATGTACCTCCAACTACCTCTCACATTTGCACAGATATTGCCACCTCTAAATGTACCCCTTCACCTGTCCAGACACTGCTGTCTTTATCGAGCTCCCCTTACATTTAGACATTACTTCTCTATCTGAATGTTCATCTGCCCTGAAATTGCTGCCTCTAACCAGTCCAGCAACAAGGAAAAAGATAGAAAAAAAGTGTTAAAACAAAAAGTAACAAAGAATAAAGTAAAAGTGAAAATAAATAAAAATAAAGGGAAGAGAGATAGAGGAGGAGTAGTTTTCTGATGCAAGGAGCAGTTAGACAGAAATCAAGAAAAGATTGACAGGTAGAACTAGTTCTTTCAAATTCTGCCAGCAGATCAGTACATCAAGTCAAGATTCCCACAGGAATGTCTCAATCACTCATGGTCAAGGTAATCGTCATCCCTGCCCTCCCTGTGGCTGACTGCCATTGACGTCTGGTTTTGACCAAAACTTGGATCACAGATGAAGATACCATGCCCCTTACAGAAATCTCAGTCTAGGCTGCCCAAACCACCATGGCAAGGAGCTATGACTGTTAGATTCTAGAATCATAGAGATATTTGGAAACAGACCCTTTTTTCCCATTTGTCCATGCTGACCAGATATCCTGAATTAATCTAGTCCTATTTTCCAGCATTTGGCCCATATCACCAAGCCCTTCTTTTTCATATACACATCCAGTCGCCTTTTAAAATGATGTAATTGTACTAAACTCCACTACTTCCTCTGGCAGCTCATGCCATATATGCACCACCTTCTGCATGAAAAAAGTTGCCCCTTGGGTCCCTTTTAAATCTTTCCCCTCTCACCTTAAACCCAAGCTCTCTAGTTCTGGACTCCCCTATCCTGGGGTAAAGACCTTGGCTGTTCACCCTATCCATGCCCCTCATGATTTTATAAACTTCTCCAAGGTCACCACTCAGACTCCAACATTCCTGGGAAAATAGCCCCAGCCTATTCAGCCTCTCTCCTTAGCTCAAACCCTCCACCTCTGGCAACATCCTTGTAAATCTTACCTACAGCAGGGAGACCAGAATTGAACACAGTATTCCAAAAGTGGCCTAACCAATGTTCCGTACAGCCGTAACATGACCTCATAATTTCTATACTCAATGCACTGACTAATAAAGGCAAGCATACTAAAAGCCTTCTTCACAATCTTGTCTACCTGCAACTCCACTTGCAAGGAACTATGTACCTGCACTCCAAAGTACCTTGATTGTCCCCACTTAATGCTCAAGGCACCTTCTCCTTATTTGAGGTCCTCACTCTTCCACCATACCCCTTCCAAAATGTTCACAGTCTCTCGTTCATTCAAAGGTTCTCTCAGAGACATACCTTCAATCCTTTTCTCCCCCTTGTTCCCTGTACAAAGCCACAACTCAGATTGTATGGATTTCGACCTCAATCCACAATCTTGCCCTTTCTCTTTGATCTCACTGCCATCCTGTCTCTCTAACTTTCACAGGGTCATGGCCATTCCCTTGTCCTTTCCACTTCCCCAGCTTCTCCAGTTTCGTTGTCTCAATACAGAGCATTAGTGGGAATTTCTGTTCACTTTCTCACCACCCATGCTCCACTTCCACTTTCTCACGCAACATCCTTCTGCATTCACCGTAGAAGCAACTTTTTCAAACCCCTAAGTGGCCCATTCACCAGGATATGTCCGCTGCTGTCCAAGTGCTTAGTTACTTCCCTATCTCCCAATTTAACAGCAATTCCCATTATTAAAAAAAAATTCTTTATTAGTATTTCCCAATATTGTCCCATCTTCATTCACCCAATCTGAAGGGACACGGACTTGAGTAGATCCGACACAGAACTAGTTTAGCAATTCATCATCAGATCTAGTTGGGCCACATTAATCCCTATCTGGCTGTTCACTTATTAACCAGTATCATTCTGGAGAACAAAATTAACCCAACTCCTTTTCTGCATTACTATCTCCTCAACTCCATTCCCTGCTCCTTCCATTCTCTCCAGTAAGTCCAAGAGTTCAGCAACTTCTTTGTCACTAAGAATAAGACTATTATTTAGCTGCTTCTAGCCACTCTATTTTTCCCCATCCTTATCTTGCTAATGATTTATGAGACTATAATTAATCTGACATGACTCATTTGTGCTAGAGATAAGGTCCACAGCTCCAGAAGTTTGGGCAGTTTAGTGCACACAAACATTTCCAGAGCCACAATTCTCTCAACTAATAAAAACAATTGCCAGTTAAAGATAACAAGGTGTAGAGCTGGATGAACACAACAGGCCAGGCAGCATCAGAGGAGCAGGAAAGCTGACGTTTTGGGTCTGAACCCTTCTTCAGAAATGGGGGAGGGGTAGGGGACAATGAAATAAAGAGCAAGAGGCGGGGAGGCGATGATGGGAGGTGGATAAAGGAGCAGATAGGTGGAGAGAAGACGGACACGTCAAGGAGGCAGGGATGGAGCCAGTAAAGGTGAGTGTAGGTAGGGAGTTGGGATGGGGGTTGGTCAGTTGAGGGAACACAAACAGGTCAAGGAGGCAGGGATGAGGGTTGATCAGTGAGATGGGTGGAGCGGATAGGTGGGAGAAAAGACAGACAGGTCAAGGAAGCGGGGACGAGCTGGGCTGGTTTTGGGATGAGGTCGGGGGAGGGGAGATTTTGAAGCTTGCGGAGTCCACATTGAGACCATTGGGCTGCAGGGTTCCCAGATGAAATATGAGGTGCAATTCCTGCAGCCTTCGGGTGGCATCGTTGTGGTACTGGAGGTGGCCCAGATGGACATGTCGTTCAAGGAGTGGGAGGGGGAGTTGAAGTGGTTAGCAACTGGAAGGTGCAGTTGTTTGTCACGAACCGAGCGTAGATGTTCCACAAAGCTTTGTAGAACACGTACGCTCAGGTTCGTGTTGCTGATCCATAGAATTCCTACAGTGTGGAAACAGGCCCTTCGGCCCAACAAGTCCACACTGATCCTCAGAGAATCCCACCCAGACTCATTCCCCAAACCCACCTAATCTACACATCCTTGAACACTATGGGCAATTTAGCATGGCCAATCCACTTAGCCTGCACATCTTTGGACTGTGGGAGTAAACTGGAGCAGCTGGCTGAGATGTGTGGATTACTGGATGTCGGTGAAAAGCAGACTTGAACACTGTCCGTTGTCAGATTCAACTTGTCCTATACTCCCAATATATACTGTTGTATTTAAGTCAGACTTAGTTCTTGATCAGTAAAGGGGACCAAGGGTTACAGGGAGAAGGCAGAAGAATGGGTTTGAGAAACATATCAGACATGATCAACTGGTGGAGCCAATTTATGGGGCCAGGCGGCCTAATTTTGCTCCTATATCTTATGGCCAAACACCGGGTTACTGTCTGACCCCCAAATCACTATGAAGAAATTATAAATAACTAGAGTATTAACCAACCCCATAAACTATTCCTGTTAGTCATTTCAAACTCATCTCAAGCAAGAAATGGAGAATCGTCTGAATTTAGACCACCAGGTCTGTCCTACATGTGACTCTAGATCCAGGGTCCCGACCTGAAACGTCAACTTTCCTGCTGCTCCGATGCTGCCTGGCCTGCCGGGTTCCTCCACCACCACACCGCAGTCTCTGATTCCGGCATCTGCAGTTCTTGCTATCTCCATAGCATTGTCTTAACTGCCCTCTAGGCAACTAGGGATAGGCAATAAATACTGGTACAGCCAGTGACGCCCACACTCCATGAATGAATTAAAGAAAACATAAACAACTGCCGTGAAAATTAAAATGAATTTCCTGGTAGCGTATTGATCTCCTGGTTGTCCTAAAATTTAGAATTAGTACCTATTTGCCGGGTACTACACAGATGTTTTGAAACGTTGTGCATTGAGCAATCTTTCCCAAAACTTTAACCGCAGGGTTTACAGCTGAAGTTAGCCTGTGAGTCAATGTGGAACAACCTGCTCTTTAGGCAAACTGCTAACAACGCGAGTTTTTACAAAGCAGAGCCTAGTCCGAAGCAAGCACTGTCAGAAACCCAACATTAAGCCACGGTTCCCCTTACCTGCTGAGCCGGAGACACAGCCACACCGGGAACCTACCGACGGTCCACTTTCTTTTGAGTCGCAGGTCGCAATGAGGAAGTGAGAGAGAGGATGTGGGTGGAAACACAACGAGTTCAGGACAGTGCCCAGGGAGGAGTCAGCATGAGGCTCAGTCCCACCTCCCTCTGCCTTCGCCTATTTCCCTCCCTCAGCTTCCCCACACCCCGCCTCCGTCCCTCCCCTCTTCCAGTCACCACCTTCCACCAATTTACCCCCTCACCCCTAAGCTTCTGTCCTCTCTTCCCCTCCATCTTCAGCCTTTCCCAGTTTCATTGCCTGCAGAGACTCATATCCCTCTCTTACAGACTCACCTCCTGATTCTACCATCCGTTGACATTGTCCACAATCTTCATCTCACCTCACCCCTCTCATAACCTGTCCTGTAATGGAATGAGTGTCAAATTCCTCAAAGAGCTGCCCCTGGTGCTGCAATTCTCACTTGCAGCATTTGGCTTTGGAACGAGCAGATCTACACCGTACCCATAGACACTCCCAGATCTATCACCTCACAACAGCTGGAGAAGGAATCCCAAGGACAGGGCTTGGGGGAAAATGGGATTCCCAGCTCCCTCAGGTGAGCTCAATGGGAATGTTAATGACCTTAATCTCTTGAACCATCAAAAAGCAACGTTACCTTTCCCTAGGGTCCCAAACAATTTCTTTGGACAAGCACGTCTTTTTGAAAACAATTTGTCAGGAGATGATTTCCACTTAACTTTAAAGATTCACTTTTTCTTCAGCATTTGTTTCCAGCCAGCAAGGTCAACCTAGAACCTATTCTCAGTCAATTTCATATCCTTCTCCTCAGGCAGTCCTTCAGAATCGAGAATGACAGCTCCTCCCTCTGCCACAACATGGATTCTGTCCATCAAGACGCACTCTGGACGTGATCTTCTGTTCTGGTGTTGTGGGTGCTGAAGCGAGTAAAAAGTCCAGTGCTGGATCCACAAAGCCTTTTGTAGGTCGGACAATGCTGTTTGCTGAAGCTGATGAATGGATAGCTGAGACACTTAAATTTTCACACGTTCCTTCCACTGTTTGCACTTGGCCCCTGTCTGGGTCTATTGGAGACACTCAAAATGGCTGCCTCCTTTGAATTGAAGTGAATTGAAGCAAATCATTTGTTGTCACATGTATTCAATATAAAATACAGTGAAAAGTGTGTACTGTTGCCATGCATAGACACCATTCACATTCATTTAAAATAAAAAGTGAAGAAAGATAACTTAAAGAGAGTCCAACTTTTCCTTCTCTGCTTCACCAGTCCATAACACGCTGCTGTCAGAATCCCACTCTGGGCTTTCCTGCCTATGCCTTACCGCCACCCAAGTCATGCTCCAGGCTTCCCAGCCCATGCCATGCCGCTGCCAAAGTCTCACTCCGTACTACACCAGCCCATGCCATGCTGTCCGCCCCAGGGGCCCACTCCAGGCTTCATAGGCTGGACGACTCTGTAGACACGCTGCCTCTGAAGATGCTGCCTCTGCTCTGGAGCTCATTGAAGATGCCTTCCTACTGAAGAGCTCTCTTTATCAGGTAAGTTTGAGCTAAAACTAAAAACTGAGAAAAGAAGAAGGGGAAGAAAGGAATAATACAAAGAAAAAAAGTGGATGAAGAGCATGTGGCAACCAGCAACTAATATCACAGAGGGCTATCAAGGTGCACAAATTCTGGGAAAGAGTTATCAGGTGAGTTGAGAATAAAGAAGAAAGTAATAAAGTTTAAGTCAAGGTCACTATGCATGCATGGGAACACATAGAGTGTAGTAAATAGGTTGATCGGCACAGATTGTCATGTGGAAGCTTGATATTATGGCTATATGCAGAGACCTGGCTTAAGGAACGTCCAGACTGGGTGTTTAATATTCCTGAATACAAGCTGATCATGAAAGCGAGGAAATTGTGAAAAGGGAAGGTCTGTTGGTATTAATCAAGGAGAGCATTTCAGTGCTGGAAAATGAGAATGTCCTAAAGGGGTCAAGGACAGAATCAATTTGGTTAGAGTTAAGGAACAAAAAAAATGTGCAATTACTTTGCTTTGGTAGTCTTCAGACTACCAACTAACGGGAAGGATGCAGGAAAACAAATTCCCAAAGAAATTTTAGAGAGTAGAGAGTAGAGGACTTTAATTGTACAAATATAGCCTGGATAGTAGCAGTGTAGAAGGCAGAGAGGGGCAAGAGAATTCCACTCGTGTTCAGGAGAATTTTCTACAGCAGAATGTAGACCTGAGTCTGAAGTTTCACTCTTAGGTTAAGAGCTCAGAATCAGGACAATTCCCAGGAGGAAGCTGGGATTTTCATTTTGGGGCTTGCAGGTGTTATGCAAGATGGGCTGCATAACAAACGCAGAGGCCGGTAAGTGTGGAGTTGGGCTGGTAGGACCCTCTGAGTTGCAGCATTTTGTTGAAGTTTAAAAATATCATAAAACAGCCCTCACACCCCTCATAGCCCCGTCCCCATCCATGCCAAACTGTGTTACTACATTCATCACTGAACCTAACCCCGGAGCTCCATTTACTCTCCATGCCTACCTGTGCCCGTAAATGCATTCATGACACTTGAAAGCTCCAATGCTCCTGTACCCAGTTCGCACACTTTGTAGCCCCTGTGCCAATATAGTGCCAATTCATTGCAACTGATGTGGCGTTAGTTTGTCTAATGCCTAGTTTGACAGCAGGATATTTTAACTGATACAACAAGGAATGACATACCTCCTGAAACATAGTATTGAAGAATCTAGCAGATGTTTATTAGAACTATTAGGTACAAATATTACATTCCTCAGGCACATATGTGTCAGGGCTAAAATTAAGCTATTAGGTTACAACAGAGGAGCATGCTTCTAGTGGAGTGTCATGCTTCAAGTGATCCAAGGTAGATGGAGGATGAGACATTTGTACTCGTGTCATATGCTATGACACAGTGATGATATCATTAGCAAATCTCTTAAAAGCATGCTGATTCTGGTACATAATACAACATCGTCCTTTTCCTAAGACAAAGCAAAATCAAATAGATGAACATGGTTTTACATGGGCATGTGATGACTGCTGCTTGGTAAATTTTGGTATTTGTTTTAAAACCAACTCCATGATTTCTGTTGGTGAGTCTGCTGAATGTTGAGCTTGCTTTTGCCTGGCGACAGTTGATTTCATCAATTAATGGGGCGGCATGGTGGTGCAGTGGTTAGTACTGCAGCCTCACAGCGCCAAGGAACCAGGTTTGATTCCATCCATCATGTTCAGGGATGTGTAGATTAGGTGGGTTATGGGGGAAGGATCTAGGTGAGATGCTGTGGGGCTCGGTGTGGACCAGTTGGGCCGAAGGGCCCGTTTCCACACTGTAGAGAATCTATGATCTATGATCTATGATCTATGTGTTGTTAATTGAATAATTATATAGACAATGTAAAACAGAGGTTGCAAGACTAACATTTCAAAAAGCAATGTAATGCTTTTGAGGTTTGATAACTAGTCCTGATCTGGTGATCGTGTCTGCGACTGGATAGATACTTGTTGTTCTCTGTTGGACATTTTTGAAAACTTGGTTGTCTTGCTGTTCATTGCTATCATTCAACATATTATCATCAAGTGTTCTTCCTCATTCTCTTCAACTACAGTCAGTGATTCATACATTGGCCTGAGCTGACTTCTCTTCCTTCACAATATAGCACCATGATCAGTAAATGACTTTATATGATCTGGTCTGTTTGCACACATTAGAAAGTTTTGCCTATATCCAAGTATTTGGATTTGTATTTCTAATTCACTTTCTCTTCCAGTGCACAATCTTGTTAATTCTCTACTTGCTCACTCATTGTGTAGCACTTTCATTCTCCTCTCATTTTGAAGAAGAATGTCCTGTGTTTCAGAATGGTTAGACAATAGGTTGATGAGTGTAGCCTTTCTGAGCACACTCTGTGCTGTGGATGGAAATCCCTTCACCATTGATGTTTCATAAAATATCAGCAATGCAATATGAAAGTCTTGCTTTGTTGCTCGATGCTTAACGATTGTTGATTGTACATGCCACATATTCTGCTAGACCACCTGAGAGAGACAGTGGGGTGGTAATGTGATGTGGGTTCCTCCCCACTGAGTATACAGATCCTGAAATCAATTGAGGATTACCTGTAGTCATTGTCAGACATTATCTGATCTGGGAAATGAGTAACTAGATGCTCTGTGATTGAGATGATGATCAGAGTGATTTAAAAGGATTTTCATGTAAAATGTTGTCTATTATTCCCAGTGAAATATGGTAGTTGTGCTTACAGGCTATCACTGGCATGTGTATCATATATTTTGCATTGTTTTTATGTGTGTACTATTAGATAAATCACGCTGTAAATGAATACTAATTAGGTGAACTTTTATCAGGAATATTGATTTTATAAACCAATGTTAAATAGTTGAGATAATAAGAACTGCTGATGCTGGAGTCAGAGGTAACACAGTGTGAAACTGGAGGAGCACAGCAGGCCAGGCAGCATCAGAGGAGCAGGAAAGTTAACGTTTTAGGTTGGGACTCTTCTTCAGAAATGGGGGAGGGGAAGGGAGCTCTGAAATAAATAGAGAGAAGGGGTGGGGCTGGGGAAGGTAGATGAGATGGTGATAGGTGAGTCAGGTAGGCAGAGGTGGGGATTGGTCAGTGAGGTGGGAGGAGCGGATAGGAGTGGAGAGAAGATGAACAGGTAGTATCAGGTCAAGGAGGCAGGGATGAGAGGGAGGGTTGGTCATGGGATGAGGCCGGGGGGTGATGAGATTTTTAAACTGGTAAAGTCCACATTGAGACCGTTGGGTTGTAGGCTTCCAAGGCGGAATATGAGGTGCTGCTCCTCCAGTTTTCAGGTGGTGTCATTGTGACATTGTTAAATAGTAGAGATCAACTCTTTCACGCTGTTTTTCAAAATGTTCAACAGTGTGGGGCAGCACGTGGCTCAGTGGTTAGCATTGCTGCCTCACAACGCCAGGGACCCGGGTTTGATGCCACCCTCAGGCGACTGTCTGTGTGGAGATTGCACATTATCCCTGTGTCTGCTTGGGTTTCCTCCGGGTGCTCTGGTTTCCTCCCACAGTCCAAATGTGCAGGCTTGGTGGATTGGCCACGCTAAATTGCCCATAGTGTTCAGGGATGTGTAGATTAGGTGGGGTATAGGGGGATGGGTCTGGGCGGGGTGCTCTGAGAGTCGGTGTGGACTTGTTGGGCCAAAGAGCCTGTTTCCAAACTATAGGGATTCTATGATGATCTATGATTGTTGACCCAGATGTGACTCAGTCTCTGATATCAACCCAACAAAAATTTTATTCGAACCTTTTGCTTAAAAATTGATCTTAAACATGTGGCTTCTACACAATACTTTACATATTCAATCTTGTACATTAGGGGAATCATAATCTATGCAAATTATGGTTTGTGGGTGCACAACAGATGAGACTGTGTTTCCAATTTGAAAAAGCTGGACGGAGATAAAGGTAAAACTACAGACGAAATGAAGCTACTTCACTCTCAGCTAATCACAATGTGAAATAAACCAGTTGAGAAAGCACTGAGTGGAGTAACACCAATGGAGTCATGAGATATTAGAAATGTTCCTGTGAATGGTACTGAAGAAGTGAATGATATATTGAGAAGGCAGTTGAATAGGATTGAGGCAGATAGAAAACAGATTTGGTTAAAAGATATATTCAGTTGAGAGGATTGAAGGGTCAGAAGGGTATATATGAGATTAAGGTCAGAGTTTGAGGTTCACTAACACGTAGAGAGAAGGTGGTTACTGAGTTGATCCTTGATCTTTGTTTCCCTAATCAATCTTTTTCATTCTAAATGATCTGTTTTCGATGTTAGATATTTTCCAAACAATTTGTTCAAAGAACAAAGAGAAAGAACAAAGAAAATTACAGCACAGGAACAGGCCCTTCGGCCCTCCAAGCCTGCACTGATCCAGATCCTCTATCTAAACCTGTCGTCTATTTTCCAAGGATCTGTATCCCTCTGCTCCCTGCCCATTCATGTATCTGTCTAGATACATCTTAAATGACGCTATTGTGCCCACCTCTACCACCTCCGCTGGCAACGCGTTCGAGGCACCCATCACCCTCTGCGTAAAGAACTTTCCACGCATAGCTCCCTTAAACTTTTCCCCTCTTACCTTGAAATCGTGACCCTTAGTAATTGAGTCCCCCAATCTGGGAAAAAGCTTCTTGCTATCCACCCTGTCTATACCTCTCATGATTTTGTAGACCTCAATCAGGGCCCCCCTCAACCTCCGTTTTTCTAATGTAAATAATCCTAATCTACTCAACCTCCCTTCATAGCTAGCGCACACCATACCAGGCAACATCCTGGTGAACCTCCTCTGCACCCTCTCCAAAGTATCCACATCCTTTTGGTAATGTGGCGACCAGAACTGTACGCAGTATTCCAAATGTGGTCGAACCAAAGTCCTATACAACTGTAACATGACCTGCCAACTCTTGTACTCAATACCCCGTTCAGAGTTACGACACACTCTGTAACTAGGACCTCCTGGCTCAGAGGTATGGACACTACCACTGTGCCACAAGCGTCCTTTCAGTGAATCGTCCTTTTCTTTGAATCGACCTGTTTCAAAATGTTATGACACACCTCTGGAGCAGGCAGGACTTGGACCCTGGCCTTCTGTTCCAGCGGCAGGGACAATACCACTGTGACACAAGTGTTGTTTTAGTGTTAATCATCTATCCTCTGTCATACAGCCTTTATTCGTAAATGACTTGGTAAATTCAGTTTAGCAAATTTGCCGATGACAGCTATATGGCCATGTGATGACTGTCCATGTGGACAGCAAATGGGCTTTTAATGCAAGAACTGCAGTACAATGCATGATGGAGCACATTAAAAAATACATTTGTTTTGATTAAATTAAAGAATTAAATTGGCAACAACTTCATCTAGTTTGCTTATGAAACAGACCCTTTGAAAGTTGCTTAATTGCCGATGATAGATACTGCATTCAGCCTGGAAGAAAGAATGCTAACAGACTGACTTTTCTTCTCTGATCTCTAATATTCTTTCCAGGTACACTGAGAGTTCCCCACACCATATAAATGTTACAATGGAAAATTAGTTTGATGTTCAAAATACAGAGACAGTTCTCATAATCCAAACAATAATTTATAACAAAGTGTTACATTGTAATGGACTTCCAGTAATTCATCAAAAGGCGTAAAATCATCAGCTAAACCCTTACAGACATGCATGACATTTACTCGATAAAATTGTGTTGATTCAAAAAGTATTTTCAGTAATTGAAGGGAATAGATGTTCACAATTCCCAACTTGAGACTTCCACACTGACTCTGAATCCAAATTATAGCGTCATTAATGAGTAAATCTCCAAAATTGACAGATGTGGAAGGTTTGAGACGTATGTGTCTAAATTTAAGGATTATATACAAAAGATAATTTTATAGAATGCAGCATTTGCATTGAACATTCCCAAGATGAATTTGGATTTTTTTGTTTTTCATTCATAGGATGTGGGCATGACTGGCTAACTCAGCATTCATTGTCCATACCCAGTTGGTCAGAGAGCAGCTGAGAGCCAGAAATATTGCTGTGGATCTGGAGTCACATGTAGGCCAGACCAGATAAGGATGGCAGTTTTCTTCCCTAAAGGACCAGATGGGCTTTCTATGACAATCGACAACAGTTATTATTATCATTAGACTCTTAGTTCCAGATTTTTATAGAATCCCTACAGAGTGGAAGCAGGCCATTCAGACCATCGAGTCCACACCAATCCTCCAAAGAGCATCCCACCCAGCTTCATCCCCTACCCTATCCCTGCATTTTTCATGGTTAATCCACCTAGCTTGCACGACCCTGGATACTATGGGCAATTTAGCATAGCCAACCCACCTAACCTGCACTCTTTGGACTGTGGGAGGAAGCTGGACCCACCCGGAGGAAACCCACACAAACATGGGGAGAATCTGCAAACTCCACACAGACAGTTGCCCAAGGGTGGAATTGAACCTGGATCCATGGCTCTGTGAGGCAGCTGTGCTAACCACTGAGCCACTGTGCTGCCCATTAATTGAATTCAAATTCTGCCATCTGCCATGGTGGAATTCGAACCCAAGTCTCGGGTCTCAGGGTCAATAGTCTAGGATTATACCACAATGCCATTGCCTCCCCATTATAACTATCAATAACTGATTTCATATTTTCCATTTGTGAAGCATTTTGAGATGTTTTTCGGCATTAAAATGATGACTGTTGATTATCCACCTATCGAATTACTGTTCGTGGTTAGGGAGTTTGTAACCAGCCAATACTCTCCCACTGAGTGAAGGTCTTTGCTGAGACTGTGAATCTGTAAAGTTGTCCAGTAAATGTTGATGAGTTTACTAACCATGCTAGTATAACCTTTCACCTGCACCTGCATGTGGAAATAAAGGGAGGTTCCTGCAGTCACTATTACAGTATACTTTTTATTAGATTGAACCTACAAATTCTAAGTTATAACAAATACAAAATATTTAATTTGTGCAAAGTCAGAAATTATTTCTTAAGAATTTAAGAGCTTTGTCTAGTTAGAAAATTCAATTTTGTCAATGTCCATGTCCTTATGATTCAGCTCTTCTCCAGACTGCTTCTTGTACCATGTCACGTGGTCTTTTTCATCATTTTAATGGTCATTCTGTGTGATTTTGATGGTGACGGTTTTCACTTCTGTGTATTCCCTCAGTCCATATTCACCTCTGTGAGACACAACACAAGGGTCAGTGCGTACCATCAATCCACAGATATCAATTTAAACTCTCCCAGTGAAGACCAGCACCTTTTGGACATTTGCAAGGAGGTGACCTGCAAATCCCAAATCCTCACCCCATGCACTAAAGGAATAACCTCCAATTTGTTTTTACAGTTTCCTTAATGAAGCTGTTGTTCCTGTAGAGAGAAATGTGCTATCAATTCACTGGTCTGATTTAAGTGAGGTTGACTCATTTATATTGTACAATTGAACAAGATCCCATTCCCAGCTTGTCCCTCCACCTAGAACAGTGCTCAAGTCAATGTAAAGGCAAAAAGAGGGTCCTGTCCCTGTCCTGGCAGGAGAATACCACTTTATTTCAACTACTCTGAGAAACTAAGGCTTTGGTATAAAGCTACACTGATCTGTCTACCAGATACTCAGCTGTTAACTGGTGTAAATGGTTGCTAAAGCCTTGCTTACATTTATTCTGTTCAGCCTGGATATTACTGAGGCCAGTGTTTACATCAGAGCATTAAAGCACCAGGAAACATTAGACTGCCTAACAACCGTCAACCAGCAGTAACAGGAAGCTGATATAAAAACTAAATGTTTGCACAAACATCACTCTAATGACCAGGCTTTACTGATTTTTTTGGTTTGTGATAATTAAAAACATTCTGAAAAGCTGATTTAGCCTGTGAACAACTGTCAGAAGCAGTGAACCAACTGGGAGGGACAGCAGACAATGTCCCGTTCCAGGAAAGTTACAAGTACTGAATTTAATAATTTTAGCACTAAGACAGGGCCAGTGGCTGGCCTGCTTTAAATAAATCAACCACAATCACTGCAGGACATCTGAATGAGGCTGAGGATATTGTACAGAATCTCCAACTGCGTCATTTTCCATGTCACTGAATGAAATCTGCTGACAAAGTTATAAATCCAATTCAACTAAAAAAGGCAAATAAATTGATGGGGTTCTTTTCTCCCACAACATGCTTTGTGTCCAGATTATCATTGTAACTGGGTGGTAAGGGACAGCAAATGCCATGACTTCATTAATAAAGTGAGTTCTAGCAGCAATACTTTTGGACCCAATGTTATAACCTTAATACTTCAAATGGGAAAGTGACATACTGTGGATGCTGAATATCTGAATTAAAACTAGGAAATGCTGGAAGTACTCAGTAGGTGAGGCAGGACAGCTAACAATTGAAACTAACAACCTTACCTCTAAGCTAAAAGGTCTGTGACCTGAAGCATTAACTGTTTCTCTGTCCGTAGATGCTGCCAGACCTGCTGAGTTCTCCAACATTTTCTGTTTTTGCTTCACTGGGGTCTGGGATTCAACTATTGGAGGGTTTGAGATAGAAAAATAGACTGGAATGGCTTGTTTTTTTTCACTGGAGTATAGGAGATTAAGGAGTGACCTTACTGAGCTTTATAAAATCATGAGGGGCATAGATAGGGTGAATGACAAGGTCATTTCCCTAAGACGGGGGAGTTCAAAACTGGGGGGTATATTTTTAAGGTGAGAGAGGAGGAAGATTTACAAAGGACATGAAGGGCAACTTCTTTACACAGAGAGTGGTTCATGTGTGGAATGAACTGCCAGAGAGAGTGGTGGATGCAGGTACAGTTGCAACATTTAAAAGTTACTTGGATACGTTCATGAATAGGAAAGGTTTGGAGGGATATGGGCTAACACAGGCAGGTGGGACTAGGTTAGTTTGAGAACATGTTCGGCATGGACTGGTTGGACTGAGGGTCTGTTTCCATGCTCTGTGGCTCTAAGACTCTATGGCTGTTTGAGCCAAGCTGTCTTCTGCCTCTTTTTCAAGTCTCTGTGGTGCAGATTTCCCCTTTCTCAATGTCAGCTTGAATCTGGTGTCAAGTCCAGCGGATCTCCAGGGATCTGCCATAGTGATATCATCAAACAGCATGAATAACTAATAACATTGAATTATCCTCATAGACAGATAGGAAAATAAACTAGGAAATAAAACCCACTGAAACTAATTTAAACTAAATTTAATCAGAAAACAAAATACATGCTTGAGTTAACAAGGTGCAGAGCTGGATGAACACAGCAGGCCAAGCAGCATCATACGAGCAGAAAGGCTGACGTTTCGGGCCTAGACCCTTCATTAGAAATGGGGGAGGGGAAGGGGGTTCTGAAATGAATAGGGAGAGAGGGGTCTAGGCCCGAAACGTCAGCCTTTCTGCTCCTATGATGCTGCTTGGCCTGCTGTGTTCATCCAGCTCTGCACCTTGTTGTCTCGGATTCTCCAGCATCTACAGTTCCTACTATCTCTGACATGCTTGAGTTATCTGGATTGGATTAGGGTAGAAACTGAAATTCCATTCACATTCTGCAAAAATTTATATCTATGGATTTTTTTTATCATAATAGAAAAACTTGTCATTCCACACATATAAAATGATTCTTTCAGGGTCAATGAGAGTGTTTAGCAATATTTTGATGGGCTGAATGGTCTCCTTGCTGAAACGATTCTATAATTAAAAGTTTACTTGCTGCTAAAAACCCAGAACACTTCATCCAATAAGGTATAACTTTCTTGAGCATTGTTACAGAATGAACAGAAGTTCTCAAAAGTTTTCCCATTGAATAGTCCTGGGGGAAGGAGAAGCAGTTTCCCTCTGTGGTAGCCTAGAATTACAGACAGCCAACACTCTGGATTGTGCTGTGTAATGATACATGTGAAGACTATGGAAGTTACTGTCAGGTTTAGCGATATAACAATATTGAATGCTGACGGTCTCACTGTCATTCCTACTACAAACTCCAGGCCTTACATGGGCCACAAAGACTTGAATGAGCTTAATGTTATGAAGGGTGGAAAATGGGAGGCTGGTCAAGAGTCCATTCAAATCATCAGGTCCTCAGATAATAAAAGTGTACATTGAAAGTTTCAACAGCAGATGGACTGAGATGGGTGCAGAGTCTGGCTATGTTACAGATGTACAATTAGCAGCACAACTCAGATTTAATCCAGGGAAAGGATTGGAGTTTGTGGCAGGGACTAAAAACAGTAGCTTCCATCTTCTCAATTCAGGTGGAAAAAAATTTCTGCCTAGATAATTCTGATTGTCTAACAAACAGCATATAAATTAGTGACCAGTGGCTGAATTGAGAGATATGGTGGGGTGGTAGACCTGAAAGTTGTCGGCATAAGTGTGGAATTTAAACCGAAAGAACTGCAGTTGCTGAAAATCAGAAACAAAGACAGAAATTGATGGAAAAGCTCAGCAGGGCTGGCAGCATCTGTGGAGAAAAATCAGAGTTAATGTTTCGGATTGAGTAATCCAGGTTATGTTCTGGGGACCCTGGATTGAAAGCCACTGCAGCAGATTGGGGAATTTGAATTCAATAAAAGAATGGAATTAAAAGTCTATGACTACCTACATTGTTGTAAAAAACCATCTGCTTCACTAATGTTCTTCAGGGAAGAAAAACTGCCACCCTGACCTGGCCTGGCCTACATGTGACACCAGACCCAGTGAAATATAATTGACTCTTATCTGCCCTCTGTAATGGTCTAATGAGCCACTCAAATGTGTCAACCACCAGAAAGCCTCAAAAAACAAATGAAATCCAGTGACCACCTGGTATTGACAAGACACCATCAATGACAATGGCCAACTTAGATGTGTCGACCCTGCAAAGTCCTCCTTACAAACCTTTGGGGACTGATGTTGAAATCAGAAGTGCTGTCTCACAGACTAGTGAATCAACAGCTGGACATTATCTGTTAAGTATGATTCCATGACAATTACTATTTCCCAGGCACCATCATCACTATCCTGGATTTGTGCCGTCTTGCCAGCAGGACAGACCCAGCAAAGGTGACAGCAGTAGTGATATACAGTTTGGAGGGAGTTGCCTTGGGAGTCCTCAACACTGACCCCAGAACCCATAAAGTGTCATGGCTTCAGGTTAAACATGGGCAAGGAAACCTCCTGCTGATTTTCATGCACTGCTTTCCCCCTCTCCCCTCAGCTGATAAATCAGTACTTCCTCCAAGTGATGTTCAAAATGGTGAGCAAGAGTGCAGAATAGGCTGGGGAAACAATAAAGGGGAACCAAGAAATGGCAGAGGAGTTGATTAAATATTTGCATTGGTCTATACACTAAGACACTAATAGCATTCCAAAAATATTAAATATTCAAGGGGCATTATGAGGAGAATAAATAAATATAGTAACTATTGCTACAGAAAAAAAAAAGTACAGAAACTAAAGGGACTAAAGACCAATAAATCTCTTGGATGTGATGGGATGCACCCTAGGATATTAAAGGAAGCAGCTAGAGATAGTTGATGCACTAGTAGTAATCTTCCAAGAACCTTTAGATTCTGGAAAAATAACACAAGTACGGAAAGCTGCCAACGTAACACCTTTATTCAAGAAGGGAAATGGTCAACCGTAGGCCAGTTAACTTATCATCTGTTTCTGGGAAAATGCTAAGTGTATATTATGAAGGATGAAATAGCAGAGCATTTAGAAATACATAACATAATCATGCAGTGAAAATCATACCTTACAAATTCTTTAGAGTTCTTTGGGGAGATAAGCAGATAGATAAAGGGTATGCAATGGATTTCTTGAAGGCATTTGAAAATATCATACATTAATCTACTTAACAAAATAAGCTCCTGTGGTGTTAGGGGTAGTATATTAAATGTAGAAACATAGAATCTAGGAGCATGAGAAAGCCATTCAGCTTTTCAAATCTGCCCCATCATTCAATATGATCATGGCTTATCTCTGCCTCAATGCAAAATTCCTGCTTTCTCACCATACACCTTGGTGCCTTTAATATGTAAAAAAGTTCTCTCTATTTGTCTTGAATATGTTCAGTGACTTATGCTCTAAAGACTTTTGTGTTAGAAAATTCCACAGGTTCACCACCTTTTAAGTGAAGAAACTTTACCTCATCTCAGTCCTACCCAATATCTTGAGACTCTGCCCTCTGGTTCTAGA